ATATTCACAATGTTTCGGCCGTTGTACGCTCCGGCCTTCTTCAGGTGATTGTATCTCTGAGATGATGTATTATGATTATTTACATTATTTACATTATTCGGACTGTTATCTTCATCATCTTCATTATTTCACAACGTTTCGGCCGTTGTACGCTCCGACCTTCTTCAAGTGATTGGATCTCTGAGATGAATTATGATTATTTGCATTATTTACATTATTCGGACTGTTATCCTCATCTTCATTGCCATATTCACAACGTTTCGGCCGTTGTACGCTCCGACCTTCTTCAGGTTGATTGGATCTCTGAGATGAGTATTATGATTATTTACATTATTTACATTATTCGGACTGTTATCCTCATCTTTATTGCCATATTCACAATGTTTCGGCCGTTGTACGCTCCGACCTTCTTCAGGTGATTGGATCTCTGAGATGAATTATTATGATTATTTACATTATTTACATTATTCGGACTGTTATCCTTCATCTTCATTGCCATATTCACAATGTTTCGGCCGTTGTACGCTCCGACCTTCTTCAGGTGATTGGATCTCTGAGATGAGGTATTATGATTATTTGCATTATTTACATTATTCGGACTGTTATCTCATCTTCATTGCCATATTCACAACATTTCGGCCGTTGTACGCTCTGACCTTCTTCAGGTGATTGGATCTCTGAGATGAGGTATTATGATTATTTGCATTATTTACATTATTCGGACTGTTATCCTCATCTTCATTGCCATATTCACAACGTTTCGGCCGTTGTACGCTCTGACCTTCTTCAGGTGATTGGATCTCTGAGATGAGTATTATGATTATTTGCATTATTTACATTATTCGGACTGTTATCCTCATCTTCATTGCCATATTCACAACGTTTCGGCCGTTGTACGCTCCAACCTTCTTCAGGTGATTGGATCTCTGAGATGAGGTATTATGATTACTTAGATTATTTACATTATTCGGACTGTTATCCTCATCTTCATTGCCATATTCACAACGTTTCGGCCGTTGTACGCTCCGACCTTCTTCAGGTGACTGAATCTCTGAGATGAGGTATTATGATTATTTACATTATTTACATTATTCGGACTGTTATCTTCATCTTCATTGCCATATTCAAGGGTTTCGGCCGTTGTACGCTCCGACCTTCTTCAGGTGATTGGATCTCTGAAATAAGGTATTATGATAATTTACATTATTTGCATTATTCGGACTGTTATTCTCATCTTCATTGCCATATTCACAATGTTTCGGCCGTTGTACGCTCCGACCTTCTTCAGGTGATTGGATCTCTGAGATGAGGTATTATGATTACTTACATTATTTACATTATTCGGACTGTTATCCTCATCTTCATTACCATATTCACAATGATTTTCAGCCGTTGTACGCTCCGGCCTTCTTCTTCAGGTGATTGGATCTCTGATAAAATATTATTATTTCTTGCATTATTTATATTATTCGGACTGTTATCCTCATCTTCATTGCCATATTTATTCACAACGTTTCGGCCGTTGTACGCTCCGATCTTCTTCAGGTGATTGGATCTCTGAGATGAGGTATTATGATTATTTTTTTATTTTTATTATTTGGACTGTTATCTTCATCTTTATTTGCCATATTCACAACGTTTCGGCCGTTGTACGGTTCGGCCTTCTTCAGGTGATTGGAATTTCAATCCAAACCCTTTATTTCGTCAACCAGTAGATTGTTCTAGTTCCACGTACCATGCCTCTTCCGGATGTCTTTGTATTTATTTCAATTTAAATCAATCTCCAAGTTTTTTTTCACCTTTTTTCAATTGATGGCCTGGTATTGAACTCAAAACAAAATGAGTCTAGTTCACTGATCTAACCAAACGTCCAAAAATTTTAACATAACCATTAGGGTCAAAAAAGGTTCGGTTCAAAATTCCAAACACCTGAAGAAAAAAAGAAGAACAATTTTTAAAAATGTTTATAAATATGGCAATGAAGGTAAAGAAATCCGAATTATGTAAATAATGGAAAAATCTTGTTTTTTCATTCTTTTTTTTTTTTTTTTCTGTAATAATTAATCAAATTTTTTTTTTACATTTTACAATAGACACTTTTTTTTTTTTGCTTTAATTTTAAAAAGCATTTTCAAATCAGGAAACAGCCAAATTCATGTCGTCTGTCCTTCTGACCGTTATGTTTTTTTGTCCTCTAGTTGAGTCAATACGAAAAGAAAAAGAAAGAAAAAAAAACTGAAACTTCTTATTTTGTTCAAATTGTCTGCTTTGCCAAAAAATTCTTTTTATAATTCAAATGTAAATTTTCGTTCCGTATATTTCCTTTTTTTTTTTCCTCGGAAAAAAATATCTAATTTTGTATTTCCTCGCTTTTGGAGTTCCTTCCTTTTATTAAATTTTTTCACTTTGAATCGCAATTCCTTCAGATCATGTTTATGCGTTGGGAATTTTAAAAGAGACAAATTCGATTTAGTCTGGTAAAATCACACACACTTCCACACGCACCCAAACATACAAATATGAAATAAACAACACACACACACACACACAAAAAAAAACAATGTTACAGCTATGTCCTGTTAAAACACCTTGTTCTTAATTCGATCACCAAAGTTAAAAAACATTAAGCAAAAGCATTTAGATGGGTTAATGCTTGGAATTTATTTTTTATCTGTTGGTTCTGTCAAGATAACGGCTCAGAATTCAAATTTTGTATTTTCAAATGTCTGTTGTTTTGAGCTACAATAGATAGAATGTTGTGGAGAGCCATGATCATCGACATCTTGAAGGACATTCTGATAAAAAATCATTGTTAAACAGCAGAACCGTCATCATCAGTTTAAGAGAGGAGTTCCATAATCAATGGCCTTTGTGCCAGAATATTTCTCCTTAGAAAGGTTCAAAATAATCTTAAAAAAAAAAAATCAGATTATTACTAAATAAGTTCAAAATAACAAAGTGCTCATTAGAATAATGGATGGAACTGAATACTGACTATGGCGAATGCAGGACAATCTCCTCAAAAATGAACAAAAAAATTTTTAGAAATCGGTTCTACAGAAGGATGCTCTGATACCATGGACCGAAATGTGAACTACGACGAAAATTTTTTTTGAAAATGGAAAAAAAAATCATAAAAATTAAAATTAACCTCAGGAAGATGGCAAAACATTATGTAAAATCATATAATTTAGTCCTTAGAGGGCTTTTTCAAATGTTTATACAAATTGACAGATGAAAGGAAATGAAAGAAATTTCAATACGCATTTCCTATTTGGCAAGATCTTAAACGATTGGCGTAAATTTGGGTTCAATTTCATTTTAAATTTATTTATTATAATGCTACAAAGGACGGGAAATCGAGGAGAAACATAATTCACCATTTTCTGCTTTTTCACATTATCTTCAAATAGAAGAAGAAGAAAATGTTTTAAATAATGAATGGCGGAAGAAGGTTTATATAGAGATAATAAAAGATAATTTTTATTAAAAGCTACAAATGACCATGGAAATCGAGGAAATAATTGGATTTTTAATTTATGACAATTAGAATTATTTTATGGGAATAATTTTTGAAATGAAAAAGCGGAACAAATTTAGGAAGATCACATAATTCCTCCGATTTATTAAGAGTTACAAAAATATTTTATCCAAAAAATTTTATGATTTTTTTTCAAGGAAACACAGCAATATAAAACAGAAGGAATCTTGAGTGAATGGATGGCGGAACAAGGTTCAGGAGATATCATAAAAAAAGACAATATTTATTAAGAGCTAAATAGGACGGGAAATTGTTTAGAGCCATGATCGCCTATCCCTGAAGGTACAAAAGAAGAAGAAGAAGAAGTAGAAGAAAAATTGAGTCTAATGGATGGCGGAACAATGTTTAGGAGAGATAACAAAAAGACATAATTTGTTAAGACTTAGAAATGACAATTAATGGTGGATATATATGATGGCCTAAAAATGAAAAAATACAAAAATAGAAGAAGAAGGCAGTTGAAATGATGAGGCCCTCAATTTTTAGGAAGGGGGGGCTTAAAATCTGATACTTTTGACAGATTGAAGACAAGAGGGACAAAATGAAAACAACAGTTTTTCATAATTTGTCTTTTCATTTTTCGGATCTGTTCAGATATAGATATAAAGTAATTTATTATATCTGAAGACGTATTGAGATGGTCAAAAATGCTTCTAAAAAGAAATTTTATTAAGAGACAGAAAAATTTCGTTAGAGACAACGAAAAGAGTACTGAACTCTCACGTGATATCTGTCCTCCTATGTGGCACCTGAATGCTGAGTAATCTCCTCAAAGATGACGAAGAGACTTTTTTTTTACAGAAATGTGGTTCTACAGAAAGATGCTGAGGATAGCATGGACCGAAGATATGAGCAATGACTAAGTTTTGAAGAGAATGAAAACAAAATGAAACTTATTCTTAACACCAGGAAGAGACAGTTGAAATTTCACTGGCACGTAATGAGGAAGAAGGCTTGGAAAATCTGATACCCACAGGGGTTGGGGAAAACAAAGCGTATTATGTTCGATGAGCTTCAGTAAATGGATGGTAGAACAGGGTTTAGGGAAAAATAACAAAAAGACAAAACTTATTTAGAGCTACAAGAGCAGGAAGATGTGAAGGACCATGATTTCCTAAGTTGTCGTAAAGCAAATATTAATCTCTATTTCTCTCTGTCTGTCTCCCTTCCTGCTACGCGTTGTCATGGAGAATAGTAACATTTTTTTTTCTACTGGTGAGTAGGGGGCACTTTTCGACCAAACTTTTATGATCACGTTGCTGGACATATAATTTAGCATTTAGCGTTTCATTGCGCCCGAATAATTCCAAATGGATAATGCCTGGACATTCCCGCCACCACCACGTGCACGTCCCTTCTCCCGTGGAGCTCAGATATTGGGGTCGTTTGTGCTGAATTGTCGTTACACATTGAACATTATTGTAAATAACCCATTTTCTTTACCTGTCATGGTCTTAAAGCCATATCACGTTGAAGCACCGTTTTTCGTGCGATTACCGAAGTTAAGCAACACCGAGCCTGGTCAGTAACTAGGTGAGTGACCGCTTGGGAATACCAAACGCTGTACGCTTTGATATGAAGGTGGTATAAAGAGCTTATGTCCATATCACGTTGAAATACCGCTTTTCGTACGATCACCGAAGTTAAGCAACACCGAGCCTGGTCAGTAACTATTTAAATATTGACCGCTTTTCGAAAAACACCAGGTGCTGTACGCTTTTCATGGTTATGAAGGTGGTAATCACTTATCAAATATTTGAAATACCGCTTTTCGTACGATTATCGAAGTTAAGCAACACCGAGCCTGGTCAGTAACTAGGTGAGTGACCGCTTGGGAATACCAGGTGCTGTACGCTTGGGTTTGAAGGTGGTATCACTTAACACGTTGAAATACCGCTTTTCATACGATTATCGAAGTTAAGCAACGCCGAACCTGGTCAAAACCTAGATCTTTTATCTTTTACTTTTTAAAGTAAAAAGTAAAATATCTTTTTAAATAGACATGTCTCTCCTTGAATTCGGAACGCCATAAATTATACTAATATTTGTTTAAAAGAGTCGAATGCACGTGAAATCTGATTAACCAATGAAAATCAAACAACACAAAATTCAAATTAGCAGAATTTCATTTTTTTTCTATATATCTCATTCTCTGATGAAGCTTTAATAAAAGTTAAATAGGTTAGATTAATAAACGTTTCCTATTTTTTTATTTATCTTATATATATATATATATATATATATATATATATATATATATATATATATATATATCTATAATTGGTAACAGAAGCCATTGGTTTATACCAACGGCTTCCCATACTTCATACTTCTCCAATTCACTCTCGTGTGGTCATGTGTGACGTCATGAGATGCGGTGCGATTTTCGCTTCTAGCGTCTTATATGCACGTGTTTATCGTTGCTTAGAAATCATCTATGTAAACAATGACAGACTATCATCACTGTCTTGTCCGTATATTGCTTAATATGTTGTAATTGACATCTTTGATAATGGCTTATGTAAGCCGAAAGCTTAGATTGTATTAAAAAAAAAATATGGATCAATATTGTGAATTTCTTTCTTCGTTCAACGATAATGTTATTAAACTTATCAGACGTTACGAAAAAAAATTTACATAAAATAAATAGACAACAGTTGTCTATATTATTTAATGAAACATGTATATATATATATATATATATATATATATATATATATATATATATATATATATATATATATATATATATAAAAAAATAATATATATATAAAAATTGCAATATGAGCGCTGATAAAAATAGAAAGAAAACCTACAATGATAACAAATTTTAATATGAGCACTGGAAAAAAAACAGGTTACTGAAGACATTAGGTTTATAATACCCATTAATTCCTACACAGATGTCCTCAAGGACACATGACATATGTGGATAAAAAATTGGTTTTTAATTGACAGGACCCAAACATTATAAATATAACGATTAAAGCGGTGGAGAACTTGGAGAGGGGAGATAACTGATAACTGACATCCATTAGACATGGCACGTGGAACTAGAACAGTTTTTAATTATAGAGCGAAATAAAGGATTCAGTTCGACATACCAACCACCTATGAAGAAGAAGCCGGAAATGTACAACTGCCGAAACGTTGTGATAAATATGACAACAAAGATGAAATGATAGTCCGAACAGCGTAAATAGTAAATCTATATATATATATATAGATATATTATATATTTTTAATAATAATAACTTACAATGACATTTTAATCCTTTACATAAATCTTCCATATTTCGGTTCAATCCTACCTCTTCAGGCGATGGTAGATAATTAATTTAATGATTTATTAGGAAATTTTATTAAATGAGTCTTTACCTCTTTTGTAAGTTAAAGTGATATAGTAGTCAGAATTGCCTGAAGTATACTTTATATTTCATTGGTTAATCTAGACATAAATCATAAGTGATTTTAATTTTGACCTTATGCTATATATTAACTTACGAAAAGATAGAAATTGTTTTTAAATTTCCTGAATAAATCATTTTATCATTAGTTATATGCCATCTCCTGAAAAAATATGGATCATTATATTGAAACATGAAAGCTTTTTTGTTTAAGGATTTCAAAATGTTTTTATTATAATCTTTTATAATAAAACATTTATAATATTTTGCTAGAACTTTGTATTCACACTTTGGATTTTTAAATATCTGTTCTTTCTCTCATATATATATATATATATATATATATATATATATATATATATATTTGGTTGGATAGATGTGAGTTTGTGAAGTTTGTCTGACGATCGCTAAATATCAATTAACCCAGGTCACAAACTCACATCTATCCAATCAAATATTTAGCTCTGTCTCTGATATTGACCACTTTCTAATAAGTACTTCATATAAATATATAAAATAATTATACATATATATATTTATTTATATTTATATACACTTTTCACACACACACACACACACACACACACACATATATATATATATATATATATATATATATATATATATATATATATTAACTATAAATTAACTGATTTAAAAATATGGTTTCATATTGGAGTTATTCCAAAATTCTTTTTGGAAGATGAAACAGAACTAATGCATAATTTAATATAATTGTTAAAGTTTTAGGTTTCTGTTTTTGAAACATGGTAATTCCTGTGTATTTTTGAAACCATATTTTTAAATCAGTTAATTTATAATAGTTATGCTCTTTAAAATTTACATTGAGCACTTTTTGTAAAATAAAAATATCAATAAGAACACAGGATTACATATCTTATTGTTCTTTTTTTTTTTTATATATATATATATATATATATATATATATATATATATATATATATATATATATATATATTTTTTTTCTTTTCATCTTGTGTTGTTCGTACTTGCTTTTGATGACGTCATTTCTGTTCAATTCCCCAACTACCAAAAGAAAAAAAAACACGTAGCATTATTATTTACAATGTGAAGTTTGCGCGCGCGTTTCACGCAATTTGTCCCAAGATATATCGATTTCGGCAAAACACTCAACACTAACTGTTGCAAATTATTCATCGATTATTTCTTGGAGATCGATACCCGTATAACTCAGCGACCCGTCCGGTTACTATGGCAACCTAGTTTGGATGATTGCGTTGAGAAATTAGGAGCCCACCCAGGGAACTGAATGCGTGGAAGATTGTAAAAGGCAGCCGAAATGCAACTATACGTTGGAGGCTAGAAAATCAAGAAGACTCCTGTTTTCGAGTGCGTTTTTTCATAACTGGCAGAAGATTTACTTAAATTCAAAAGTTCGATTCTCATTGGGTGCGCCATACTTTCAGCCTTGTGCCACACGTAAGCTACGCTAAGTAAATCGCTATAGCAATTAAAAAAACATTGAAGTAAATAAATTATTATATAACAGGTGCGCACAAATTTTCAGTATGTGGCTTGCAGCGTGAGTAAGACCAGAGGGTCTATCGGCCAAAATGCAGTGGAGATAGAAACAAGGATGAGGATACTGCTCTGAATAATTCATGGAACGATGGCAAGACTTCATGTCAGACCTTCAGATAATACAAGAAGGCTGAAGAATGCACTGGCCGTAATGTAGTGATCAAAACAACAAAGATGAGGATACAAGTTTAAATAATTCATGGAATAATGACAAGACTTCATGTAATACCTTCAGACCATACAAGAAGGCTGGAGAACGCATTGACCAAAATGTAGTGATCAAAACAACAAAAATGTGTATAAAAGTCTGAATACGATGAAATAACGAAAAGATTTCATTTCAGACCTTCAGACAATACAAGAAGGCCGGAGAACGCTTTTATATATAAATGTAGTGATCAAAACAATAAAATGAGGATACTCGATTAGATAATTCATGGAATTAAAAAGACAAGACTTAATTTGAGATCTTCAGACAATACAAGAAGTCTGGGTAAGCACGGTTATAAAACAGCAAAGATGACGATAGTAGACTTCACAAACATACACACACACACGCATATATATATATATATATATATATATATATATATATATCTTACTTATAAAACGCAGATTGTGTGTGTGTGTGAGTTGTGTGTCTTCAAACGTTCATATATTGATCGGATTTCCTACATTTTTCAAACTGATTTCAACAAAAAACTTCACGGGACTACGTAAAATTACCATGCGGTGGTTTCTGACAGCGCCAAAAATGGGAAAAAACACAATTGTTTTTTAATACGAAATCAATTTGAAAAACGATAAAACACGATTCTGTTGCCAGAATGAAAGGGGACAACTCATATCGAGTTATAAAAAAAATTATAAAACCCAGGTTGTTTTTGTGTGTGTGTGTGTGTGTAGTAATGTGTGTGTGTGTGTGTGTGTGTGTGTGTGTGTTTTCATTTCTATAAAAAAATCGGATTTCCTACATTTTTCAACCGATTTCAACAAAAAATTCACTTTTTTTTTGGCAGGTAGTAGTTTCTTATCGTCTTGCACAGTTTTTTTTTTATTTTTACATTCAAATGAAATTTTAAAATTCCATTTTTTGTATACAATTGTTTATAAAAAAATTCTATTCAATCGGTAGATTCATCATAACGATTGAAAACAATGTTTTTGTTTGAGTTTGGGTTTGACCAAATTCGTAAATAAAAAAAAAAAAAATTTCATTGCGTGTCCGTCAACCTTAAACAATAATCTTTGTCAATTTTATTTTTCAGTCTTTATGATCTATCTCTTACTGTTACATCCCGGGCAACGCCGGGCTAACTGCTAGTATATACATATATGTTAAATTGTGCAGTATATATATTATATTATTATGAGGTAATTGTACAAATAATTAATTAGCGATCACATTACTAAATTCAAACAAAATTCTCACTTGAATCATTTAAATAAGAAGTCTAGCGTTGCGGCATCGCAATGTTCCCAAATAATATAACTGCCAATAAATAGCATATTTAAAAAAAAACATCTTTCAGTCTACACTACATTTATCTTGTTTTGGTGCTTACCTGTAAAAGGAAATGTTACGCAGTGAAGATG